AGCTGTGCAAGCTGCATGTCCACAGCATAGTTTTGGGGTAACTTATATAAGTTGATCTGGTAGGAAATCATTTGCAGTAAAATTCCAGATTATTAGCACATTATTTGTGCTTAGGACAACTTCTGCTGCTTTCTAGTGAGTTGTGTTATGTGGAATGCAGCTTTAGAGTGGTGCTGTTAAAATGTTGGTTTTACAGCCAAGCAAACGTGCAGTGTTCCTTAATGTGTGTTACATCCTGCCCCTTTCACCTCGGTCTTGCTGAAGCATGGCCATCAGCACCAGGTTTGGTCTCTGTGTCTCTGTGATGCCACTGTGCACAAATTCATGCTGTAAGTATAATTCCTTTACCATATATTCCTCTTGACATTCAGAGCTTTGAATGCTTTCCTGACTACGTAATTTTGAAAGTGACAGATTTGTCTTAAAATGTAAGATGATGGTCTTAAACTGGCAAATGTTTTAAATAGTTCCATTGGCCTCTGTTAGGTTTGGTGTTTGGGATTAAAACTTTTAGAGTTCTCCAAGTGAGGAGAACATAAACTATTCCACTTTTTTTTTTTTTTCCTGATTATATTGATTTCCATGTCAAAAAGGCCAACTTTTGTATATATTTCATAAACAGATCAATGACTCATTACTTTATAACCAGGAAAGAACCTATAAATAGCATCCAAGACACTGACAATCAATTGAAGAACTCTTCAGTAATAAATGCAAATATTTGCTATGAAAATGTTGATCTTTGTTACTGGTAGGTTGGGTTTTTTTCATTCCTCTTAACAAGTGATACTTCTATTTTCTGATTCCTAACTACATAAAGAAAATCACTTTGATATTCCTAATTCCACTGTTTTATAAAAATCCCAGTAACAGTTTCCTGGAGGATAGGATATGTGAAGATGTGTTCCCCTTAACAAAGCTTTTGCTGCAGCTGAGAATAGCCAAGTCAGAACATTCCCCTGAGCACAACATACATGTGGAGTTTTTTTAATTCCATGGGAAAGTGAGGAAATTCTGGTTTTATTTCTGCTAAGCAAAAGGAAGTTAAAAGATAAAAACCCAAACCTCTGCAATCTTTGCTCTGTACAGGTGTCAATTGAAACACATGGAATCACTTACTCAAACAATCTTTTAAATTCTCAGAAAACCCCCAAGCCCTAAATTAAATGTTCCTCCAGGCACCAGTGCACTGCAGCAGGACACTCTGTCAGGCAAGGAAGAGGCTGAGACAACTGCTCAGGGCTGCTTTTTATAAATGTTGTGATGATGTTTGGCTCAGTCATTCCTGTCCTTTCAAAATGCATGTGCCTTTGTGGCAGTGGGTGGCATTCCCAGTGCTCCAGCACTTCCATGGAATCAGGACATCCTCACACGACGAGCGGCACTGCACTGCACAGAGGATGGACAGAGGACTCGAAAGCACCAGCTTCCTTTTTAACCTGCCTGTGCATGGAAGTGTCCTGTGCGTTTTTCCATGAGGTGGGAAGCAACATAGAGAGGTTCTGGTTGCTTTTAAGTCAGAAAGCTTCTGTTTGTATGCTGCTGGCTCATCACCCAAATTTAAGACCCAGTCCAGTGTCACAAAGTTGGTTCCTGAGTTTCCATCTGCACCTCATTAACCCAAACCGTGCACAGGATGGGGCTGAATTAACACATTTTGAAGCAAGCAGGGCTACTCTTAGGACAGCAGTGGTGTTTATTCTGCATGGCCTTGACCCATGGAAGGCAGCTTTTTGAAATGCACTGACTGCAGGTAGTAATGCTCTAGCTCAGAGCTGTTCATCTTCCAACAGCAGCATCTCCCAAATTGCAGTCACTGCTTAGCACTCAGGGGCCACTGGGTCCCTCTGATGGTGCTCTCTGCTGCCAGCTGCAGGAACAGCCTGGAGACCTATACAGGAGAAAAGAAAAGCCAAGAAATCTGGGTGTGCAAGAGGACGAGGAGAAAAGATGTGGTGGTCTGAGGGGCTGTGTGGGACCTAATGGATCCTGGGAGTTGGATATGTGCCTCTCAGAGAAAAGGGAATACTGGGCTTCCTCAAAGCAGGAAAAAATCTAGAGATAGAAGCATATTTATGAGACAGGGCCATGTAGCAGGATTTTCTCCAGAGGAGGAGAAGACAGAAACTTCTGAGGAGCTTTTCACAGGTGAATGTCCTGTCCCCTCACTGAAGCACAGAATCCAAATCAGCTTTGACAAAAGAGTGGTCCTAGCTCAGACTCCTGCAGAAAGATGTAGCTGACATTCTGACTACACCCATCATGCAGAGCAAAAAAGGGAAATAGAACAGAAAACCTGGAATATGGTGGTTGGGTTAAGGATTGCTACAGACCAGTAAGTCAGCTTTGAAAAGACGGGATGTCATTTTAAGGTATAGAAAGCATACTAGCAAATAATTTGGCAAATTTTTAAAACTTCCCAAGGAAAGTGCTTCTGTATTTCTTCAAGATACAATTGCATGCTTTCTAAATGAAGAATTTGGGGTAGAAACTCTTTGAGAAAAGAGGGAACAAGACGTAAGTAAATTTTATCCTGAAATCTAAAAAGACTAGAGATTTCTACCTTGCTTTAGAGCCAGCCAATAAAGTCACATAGCAGTTGCAGACTTTGCTGTTCAGATATGTTTAATGACATCAAATTTTGGCATATGTCTTGCTGATCTTTAGAATTTCAGTTTGAGTAGTGTATTTAATAGAAAATGGCACAGTATGTTCCCAAAAGTGTCCTAAAGATTATATCTGTTAGTGTCAGTTTTGCAGAGATGTATTAGTTAACTGTACTGCACAGGAGTGAGGAACATTTCTTGTTAATTTAGGGAGGGAGAAAGCTTGATGACACATGCAAATGGCACATCATATATTTAAAGTAATGTGTATGTCGCCTACACTAACTGCATTTGTCCTTTCAACATCTTTCTTAGCTTGAGCACCACCGTTTTTGAATTTTATGTGACTGTGATATTAATACACCTGTTAAAGAGAAGATTAATTACCTAATAGCATTTTTATTAAAGATTAGGTACCCTTTGGGAGAAAACATATATATATATATATATATATATATATATATAGACATGATATATATATATATAGCCATGATGATTTCTGCCTTGAAATTACTGTCTTCCTTTCTCTACCTGGCAGCTGTCAGTGCTCAGGAAGGAGCTGGGCCAACTCGTTCCCTGCAGGAGGAGTACAGAGTTCTTGGGGTTATGGGAGACACTGGTTCTCAAGGTATTAGCAGCTGTGTCTGTAGATGAGCCAACAATCCCAGTTTATGCAGCTACATGGAGCAGTGCTGAGACACAACTAGAGAGCTACAACAGTGCCTGCATGAACATGGAAATGGGGTGAGGGCAGTGCTTGGAAGTTCAAGCAGACATAAGCTTCTCTTCCATGAGAGTGGAAGTGAAGTGCCAGGAACAGCTGTCCTGTAAAACTCCTCTTTGACATGCTACAAATGGCCTCAAAGGACAGAAGGTGGCCCAAGTGTGAAAAGAGTAGCAGGAGAATCTGCCCCAAACCTGTGTGCCAGCACTTGAGGCAGAAGCACACGCAGAAACACTTGGCGTGTTTCCAGCAGTGCTTTGCTCTGTTCTCTCCAGTCTTCCCCAGGGAGCTGCAGTGTAGGGATAACTTTACACTGAGGCATCTGGGCAGGGGAACACAATGCTGCAGTTTGTTGTCTGAGGAGGAGATTCACTGGCAAAGCTGCTGCTCTGGTGGGGCACAGGAACCATGTATACAGTGTGGGGATTAGCTCAGTTTTAAGCTGGAGTACGTGAGAAAGTAATTTTCTAATTTTATTCTTGAACCATAGCAGAAACTATTCTTCTTTTTAGACACTTCTGTTGGCTCTGAAGAGGTGACTTTTCTGAGCTATATAAAGGACAATTTTGTAGCAGATACAGATCTGCTTCATAATGACAGGTTCAGGAGCAAGACCTTTATCTCAGATCCAGTACCTTCAACTATTTCTTCACCTCCAGTTCTTATTGTTGCAAAAGAGCTTGTGGGGTTTCCAGTGATCTGATCCAATGTTTAACTACAGGTTGGTAAACAGCAGCACTGGCATAAGTTGTTTTGCAAGGACTGTGCAGCAGCCAGCCCTACTCCCATCTTCCTCTGGCTCCTTGACTCTTCAGGAACTTTTTAGCCCTCTGTACTTTATAGCCTCTGATGTTCCTGCTAATGCCAGGAGCTCCCTCACACAGCTTCGTGCTTCCTGCCTGGCACTAGACAAAGCAAAGCAGAGCTCCTCAGCCTTTTCATCGTTACCTCTCTCTGGAAAGCTCAGAAAGAGTCTCTGTACCTGGGCACTTGCAGTGGGGAGAGCACAGCTCTGTCTCCAGCTGGCTCTTGATGCTGCCTGCTAAAGCTCAGGCAGTGCCAGCTCACTCTGCAGTTGTTGCCAAGGGCACAGAGCAGGTTTCTCACTTCACTCCCTGGGAAGCCAGAGTGGATGCATACCCTGAGACGTTTTGGAGACTGGGTTCAGTTCAGCAATGGATGTCTTTTCCCTAGGGAGAAGTTATTAATACCTTCACAATAAATGATGGCTGTGAACGCAGTGCTAGAATGTCCTAGTGATGACAACAAGAGCAGAGCAGGGGACACATTACACTGGTAATGGCATCTCCCTTCATGTCCTGCAGCAATGAGACACATGGATTAATTCTAAATGCATTGGTAACATATGGGTATGAAATTATTTTGTGCTATTTAGAACAAGTCCTTTGAGCTAAGGCTGTTGTAAATTCTAATTAGTCCATGCTAATCTCCATAATAGGCAGCTATTTCTAATGCAGATCTAACTGATGATGTCTGACAGCATTTTCCACACTTATTTGTACACTGGCAGCAAGCTGGTATCATGCTAGGGTCAGAATGTTTGCTCAGGTTAAGAAAACTTTATTTTCTGTACTCTGCAGGGAGTTTGTATTTGCTGCAGGCTCCTGGAGCACTAATTTATGTCTGTTTGCTTGTATCTATTTGTGCAGAAAATAGGGAAAACTCCTTCAGCCGTTCCCGAAGCTCCAGCGTGTCCAGTATCGACAGGGACTCAAAGGAGGCAATCACAGCTCTGTACTTCATGGAGTCCTTTGCCCGAAAGAACGACTCTGCTGTTTCCTCCTGCCTCTGGGTCGGAACGGGCCTCGGGATGGTCATAATCCTGTCCCTTAATCTGCCTGCTAGTGACGACTCACGGCAGTCAGAGCCAGTCACGGTGTCACCAAGTGGTGAGTGCAGCTCCTTTCCTGCTTTTTATCTGTCTTGGTACAATGGGGCAATGACTGCATGATTTTGTATGGCCTTTTGGGCAGAAGTGTCTCAAAAAATCAAGCAGTGGTCACTCACTGAGTGGAGGGCACACAGGTAAAGATGCTCATGAGGGATCAACAGCTTCACGGACTGAGATGCTTAGGTTGTGTTAGTTCCAAAGACTGCCTTGTGTAACAGGCAAAGTTACATATTTCTTGTGACGACCAGGAAATTACCAGAGCTCCTTCATATTGTGAAATTACAGTCCTGTTTACAGTCCTGTCTGGGATTCTGCAAGCAGTTTGGCTGTCTCAGTATCAGAAAGCTGCAGAGAAGCAGAAGGGAGTTCAGGAAAGGAAACAAAAATGTTGGCAGGTTGCTGTACCAGGAGAGATCCTTGGCTGAGTGAGTGACAGATGGTGTAGCAGAGAGAACAGAGGGCTGAGAGGTCAGGTCTGAGGAGAGGCAGCATGTGCTTTAAAAATGGACACAGAATGGAGAATGCAGAGAAGCAGAGGTTTCCCACCCCAGTTTGTTTAGAAAAACAATGCTGGAAGGTCACCAGACTTGGAGCAATTTCACTGCTGGGGAATAAATATTCTGCTAGTATAGTGTAGAGATAAACAACAGGCCATCTTTAACAGCATGTATTACATCCATCATTATAGATATCAGCTGCCTGAGACCTTTCCAGTGCTGGCAGGCTGTTTGTTCACCTTCTCGTGTGGTCAGAAAGAACTGAGCAAGCACGCCTTGTCACCTTGGCTGGATTAATGTGCGTGCTGTGTTTACAAAAGCTGGGTGTCAGCTGTGCGGTGCTGACAAGCAGTCTGCTTGTGGTGCCAGTGGCAGTGAGAGGGAATTCTGTTCTGCAGGCACCGTCCTGACACTGAAGGGAGCCGTGCTGACCTTCGCGTGCTTGGACTGCATGGGGACATTGACACACCAGCCCTATGAAGTCTGGAGGGATCCACACAGTGCTGATGACGGTGACAAAACAAGGAAAAGGAAACTTGTCATGCATTCCCCTTCCTCCTCCCAGGATATGGGTGATCATCAATTTGCAGTCATTTGTTCAGAAAAACAAGCCAAAGTCTTCTCATTGCCTTCCCAAACATGTCTTTATGTCCACAACATCACCGAAACGTCCTTTTTATTGCGAGCAGATGTGGTCACCCTCTGTAACAGCGTCTGTCTGGCGTGCTTTTGTGCCAATGGGCACATCATGACACTGAGGTACTTATCTAACTAATTTTGTGGCAAAACTAAGCAAAGAGGTGGCACAGTGCTGTCATATTCCACTTGTGTTTGCTCCAGAGTACCTGATGCTCTGCATTAACTCCCTGGTGGGTGTGTTTAATTCCCTGCCTTGATGCAGCCATACCTGATCCTTGGGCTGTCTCCATGTGGGGAGTTAAGGCAGGCAGGTGCACGGTACAGCAAGCTCCTGGTGTTTTCTAGTAATCCCCTACCTGTGACAGTGGATGGCTGGTGATTTTTAACTATGATAAAAGAAAGCCCTGATAATTTTGCTCAGTTATGGTGGGTCAGGTATAGAGAAGTATAAAACAGCCATATAAAGGGTTCTGTGTATCCTTTGTGAAGTCCCACTCTTGGCACTTCTGAAGCTTCTCTCTTCAGAGCACTTGTTTCCCTTCCTTGTCCTCTCCCTCCAGGAGCTGACTGTGCAGTAACCCTGTAGTTGTGCCTTCACTTTGCTGCTCCCTATTTCCCTGGCCAGGCCATTTAAATTTGGGAAAGTGCTGTCCAGAACAGCAAACCCCAGGGAGCTGGAGGACAGCAAAGGTGATTCTGGAGCCTTTGTCCAAGGGTGGAAGCAGGGCACTGCCAGGCCCTTTCCTACAGACGTCCCTGCAGGCCTTGCCCTGCAAACGACCATGTGGCACAAGCCATACCGTGCCACATGCACATCCCATATCCAGACAGAAGCAGAAGCCTTAGAGTTTCAGCTGGAGGCAAGGCAGCTGAAACTCCTCCATGCAAGCAAACAAAATATGATGGGAATGCAGCATTTTTATGGCAGAATTTTTCAGCTTAGAGCTGTACTTTAACTGTTGCAGTTATGAAGAGCATAAAGTGAAGTGCTGGTTTAACATGCAGGCACAGAGCAGGTGTACCATGTGTGGCAGCTGGTGACTAACCTGGGAATCTGCTTCTCCTCAGCTTGCCCAGCCTTCGCCCGCTGCTGGACATCAACTATTTGCCTGTCACAGACATGAGGATAGCACGGACCTTTTGTTTCACTAACGAAGGGCAGGCTTTGTACCTGAGCTCTCCCACAGAGATCCAGCGCCTGACCTACAGCCAGGAGATGTGTGACAACCTGCAGGTAGGGCTCACACCTCACCCTGGTGCCTGTGTGTGGGAGGGACCGTGGCCTCGCTCAGCAGGGAAAACTGGCCCTGATAAGGACAGTGCTGCAGGGGCAGGACAGATCTGCTCCTCTCCACTTGCCCTGGCTGAATGATGCCAAAGCAGCAGAGAGGTCAGCAGCTCTGTTGTTCCTCGGGCTTTTTCATGTACTCTCACCTGCACCTGTGCAAAAAGTCTTTACAGTGTTAGAGATGGGCTGGTGTGGTTTGGTTATTTCACAATGAAAATGCAAATAAAAATGTCATTTACTGAAAGAAGGAATTGGGAGAGGTTACAGGGAGAAACATGACTAATAAAAGGAAAAAAAAAAAAGAGGGGGAATAAGTTCTGGGTTATATAATTAGCAGTGAACCAGAATGGAAGTATAAAAGAAATGGTCCTGCCAGCACTCATTATGCCCTAGGGAATAACATGTGCTGAGCTGCTCAACTCACATCACAGCACTGTCTGTCTCAAGTCTGAAAAGGCACTTTGAGGAGTGAACATTGCACACCAGCTTTTGTGCACCAGAAAGATTATTTTGCAAGGAGCCAATTTTAAAATAATCTAAAGGTTTGACCGATGCATCTTAGATTATGGACCTACAGCAAGAGGCTGTTACATGCTATTTTATTTTTTTTTACCAGCCTTAACAGCACTATGCAACTACCAAGCAAAGGGAAACACAGCCCTTGCTTCTCTGTACTGCTGGACTATGGCTGCTTTTATCTTGGCTTTTAGGCAAAAAAAGGTTTGCATGGTCATTTTGTGTGTACAGAAAGCAGATGACCCAGTATCACCTGCTACCTGGAAAACAAAGCTGGGCTGCATGAGAGCTCCACTTAGGCTCCAAGGGCTGCAGTAATTTTTCTCCCCAGAGCAGGTGACTGTGCAGAGGAGCAGTGGCTGTGAGTCACAGCGCTGTCCTCGCACTCAGCCCCCAGGAGCGAGCGCTGTGTGCAGCACAGCAGCTGGATCTGCCTGCTGAGGCTTGCCTGAGCAAACACAGAGCTGAGCAACAGGGCAGAAACTGTTCTCAGTACACACAGCCCCCTGGTTTCAAACACTAATGGGACTGCACACTTTTCCCATCAGTTTTTTTTTCCAGAGAGCCTGCTTTTCCTAATACTTCTGCAAATAAATCTGAGCCTGACATTTGTTGGGAGTGACTGCTCCAAGATGTGGCACCAGAGCAGCGCCTTCAGCAGATGTGCTTATTTAGCAATGCTGATGGTGCACTAATGGGGTGGGGGAAGGTTGTAGGAAGGTAATGAATTTTGTTTAAAAAGAAAAAAATCAACTAAAAGACAAACCACCAAACTCTGAATTGCTGGCAAGCGTTGAACTCAGGTGTGCTATAAAAAGAAAGCAGAGTGACTGCCCAGCCTGGCTGGGCAATCACTAAAGCAAAATACATAATACACAACAAATTGTTTATTCAATTAGAGTGTCACCTCTGCTGTTTCTAAGCAAAATGTGACCTTATCACTGGTATTTTCATTCTGTATTAGCTGCAGGGTTTTTTTTTCCTCTGGTAACAAACATGGGACTGAGCAGTGACAAACCAAGTCCCTTTGAAAGCATGAGTGAGTCCAGTTAGCCCAAGCGTTTGTCAGAATACACAAATATTGCCTGCACCATACTGTTCTCACAGCAGACTCTTTTAAAACTAGTTGATTAGGTCCAGTGCATGTGTCTTGTTAATGAAAATCAAGAAAACACCTAGAACCACCTTCATCTCACTAACCTTTCACATGGACTTTTTTCTGGTTTTACTAGGACATGCTTGGGGATTTGTTTACTCCTGTGGAAACACCAGAAGCCCAAAACAGAGGCTTCCTCAAAGGACTTTTTGGAGGAAGTGGACAAGCTTTTGACAGGGAGGAGCTTTGTGAGTAATTTACTGCTGGGGGTTTTTTGGGCAGAAATTCATTCTTGAGATCCCCTGCCCTCGTCATCTAGGCATGGAGCAGTACACAAGACTTAGGTGATTGATGAGAAGAGAAAGCTGACCTAGTGGAGAAAGGGGAGGGTCCTTATCTGCCATTCCTTAACTCCTTCACCTTGGCAGCTGCTTTTGATCAGCTGAGTGGGGGGCACATGCCTGCACTGCAGATGTGGTGGCGGCAGAGCAAAGCCTTCCAGATGTGCCACCTGCCCCTCGGGTGATGTCACTGCTGCCAGGAGGCAGCTCAGGACTGGGGAGCACTGACAGAGCCAGGCCAGGAGCTCATCCCTGTCTCTCTGTCTGTCCATTTCTCCTTTGCAGTTGGCGAGGCCACAGCAGGAAAAGCCTCGCGCAGCCTCGCCCAGCACATCCCTGGATCCGGCGGGATTGAAGGCGTGAGAGGAGCGGCGGGCGGGGTCATTGGGGACCTGACTCGCGCGCGCATTGCCCTGGACGAGAGGGGACAGAAGCTGGGCGAGCTGGATGAAAGGACTGCCAGCATGATGGCCAGCGCAGAGGCGTTCTCCAAACATGCACACGAGGTAGGAGCCCTGGCACCCACACCCTGCAACTGGGAACTGCCAGCCCTGCCACCCAGCCTGTGCTTCCCTTTGGGAAAGCCAAGTGCCCTTCTCTCCCTTCACCCAGTCCTGGTGTTGGAGGCGTGCTCATGTCAGCTGGCACGGCATTGTTCCTGCTCCCAAACTATCAGAATGCCAAAAATAAACACACTCCTTCCTTTCACGTTTCCAGAAATGAGCATCCATTGTTAGCCTCTGAATTTAGAACATGGCACTTCTCATCTTGCCTTTCTCGCTAGTTCGTTGTGGTTTGTTTTTTTTAAGCCACTTAATGCAGCACATCCATGCAGTGGGGCAGAAAAGAGGTAGGTGGATGAGTGTAGAGGGGCCTTTACAGACCTCACTGGGAAGAGGAGAACATTACTAGTACAGCCCTGTGGTACTGTTATGTAGAATAGGCCTTGCCAGGAATAGGAATAGCTTCTGTGCTTGGAGCTGGAAATGGAAAGCTTTTCCATCCCATGCTGTTAAGGCTGGGAAAACTAAAATGATTTTTCTTGAAGATAAAACAACATCAAAGCATACTTCCCAAAATGCACGCTTTTCATTTAATGTGCATCGCATCTCCGGACAAGACCTTTACATTTTTATTGGCTTTTGTTAGTGTGAGGCAGAAAGAATGTGCCTTGAATTGCAAGAAGTTGATATAGTCAGGGCATATCTACTATGCTCCATGGAGAAGTGTCTTTTTATTCCTATAGAAAGCAAATTCCTTTAATTTTTGAAGAAGAAAAGTAGTTAAAGTTCCTCAGGGAAAATCTTCTAAAACCAGCAATAGCAGGTAACGCTTTTTAAATGAATAACTATGAAATTAAATATGAGATCTCAGTGGACTCAAGACCTGCTGACATTGTTAGTGAAGTATTGCATTGCTCTGCATTCATTAATTCTGAAGTTTGACAGTTAATGGGCCTAGGTCATGTGTGGTGTCTCATGTGCAGGGCGGTGTTTGATTGCCATTTGTTTGGTTTTTTCTCCATCTCTGTAGGTGATGCTCAAATACAAGGACAAAAAGTGGTACCAGTTTTAGACTTTCAAGGAAGCTGCTTGTGGCTTTATTAAGAACACTGTTCAGGGAAGCAGCCTTTATTCCCAGATCTACCAGTCACTGGCCAGAGACAGTTTTTTCTCCTAGAAGATGTTTTCCTGTTACTGTTATTGGATTCATCACAGTGGACGTCAAGGAGAAATTTTACAGACCATGGGATGGAAGCTGGAATCATGAGGGTCTTTCCAACAGCTGACTCTTGGGGTGGCCAATTTTTTTCCCAAAAGGAACTCAACCATCACTGTGGCATGTAGTTTTTCAAAAGCTGTAGGTATGAACTGTGGGGAGTGCGTCTGGTTAAAAATATTCTGTACAAACTCGAATGTTAATGCACTTATAAAACTTTGCATGGCTAATTGACAACTTAAAAAAAAAAAAAAGAGAAAAAGGAAGCATGTTGTGACCGAAGAAAAATGGGATTTATTTCTATTCTGAGAAAAAAAAAAAAAAAGAAAAAAAAAGAAAAAAGAAAAAAACACCTTAAATGACAAAAATCTTTATTTTTTAAAAGTTACATTATAAAAAGCCAGGACATTTCAAGCATGTTTGCTACTGTTCTCCACATAAAAATGAGTTGAGCTGCATTTTCTTATCAGCTGTTTATTTCCCTTGAAAAGCCTTGCTCAAGGCAATGCTCTTTAACTCCTACCAGAAAAAATAAATAAATTTAAAATCCTATCCCCAAAATTTAACGATTTTGCAGGTAGCTGGACAGGCACTATCTAACAAGATCATTAAGGCATGTCATAGATGGTTTATTTGCAATTCAGAGCACATGAAACATCCTCCTAATCTATACATTTAAAATGTGCTCTAGATTCATCTGTTGTCCTTGAAGGGGGGCTGTGGCACTTTTCATCCCCGTGGTGTCTGTATCACTTGGTTGCCTTATTTCCCAGTAGCAGGAATAGGAAAACAGCTTTGGAAAGCATTTCTTCAAGTTAGGAAAGGGAAGATGGGAAACCACAGTCCCATCAAACACTGCTCACAGAGGCTGCTCAGCAGCTTGCAGAGCAGCTTAAATGCTCAGCTGAAATTATGAGGGGGGGCCTGCACAGAAACCTCCCCAAAACCTGTGACAGAAAGGGAGATTAGAGCAGGAGCACTACACAGTGGGCCAGGGAGGAGCATGGAAAACCCTTGTCAACATATGTATGGAGCACAGAAATGAAGTGACACCGTGGGTGAGTGGCAATTTATACTCTGCTCACACTGCTAAAAGTAATTTGCTTCTGCTTCAGAGTGGCCTGTTTGGCTTTTGCAGTGAATGCTGCAGGAAACTGCAACCTGCAGCCACAGAAGAGAACAGTAAGCTGGATTTATTGCCTGTCCTGCTGGAGTGCTCCACCCTATCCTGCAAGACTCACTGCCACACAACTCAACTGTTAGGTTAGAAATTTTTCCAAGATTGGGCTGAAAGCAAGGCACTGAAGGCTTGTTTTCATGTGTCTGGACATAGTTTTAAATTAGAAAAAAGGAAGTGAGGAAAAGTTGGAAAAGTAGCCTTTAAAATTTTTCTTTTGAAGAAGTGTAACATCTGTCTCTTCAAGGAATCCTGATGGACACTGACAGAGACAGGCACCATCCCACTCCCACCTAGACCTTAATTTCACTGGTGTTTGTGTCATCACAGTGTTCATATGGTCCCTCTCAAAAACACCTTTTCCTTCTTCTTCCTTTACCTACAATAAAATACAGCCCAGGAAGTTGTACCATCCACAAGTCTGGCCTCACAATTGGCCCACTGCTCAAGTTAAAGGGTTGGAAGAGATTTGAGGTGTTAAGTTTTAAATTCCCATTGTGGCAGAACAGAATTTCATGATTTACAGGATTTTTACGTTTTGCTGTAGCCGAAATCAAAGTGATGGCCCTGACAGGTCTAGCTCAACTGGGAATGAGACTCCACAAGTTTCTCTAGCACAGGAGAAACTGCTCTATGTTGTCAGAACTGTAGAAACTTGCAGGGAAAAAGGTCAAAGCCTGAGCAATTCCTGGGCTTCTGCTGAGAGCTAAGGAATTGGAGTGGCCTGTGACCCAAGAGGATTCCTCTGTGTGTTTGTGTGTAAGGATAAACCAAACTTGCCAATCTGCTGCCAATAGGAACTGGGTTGGGGAATTCCTTCCAGGGGCTGGGTCACAGAAGTAACCACTGGTGCCTGTGAGGAAGCACTGCTCTAAGCAGGCATCAGGAATGAGGAATAAAGGAGAGCATTATGGCAAGGTGATCTTCAGTTCAAAGCTGTATCACTGGGCCTGTGCTCTGGCCTATAATCCAAAGCCACTGGTCTCTGAGCAACAAAATCATTTGGGGCAGCATTCAAAATGTCCAGCAGCCAGCTTATTTTCCATTCTGCCCTGGTGTGTGGCAGTCAGAAGCAGCCCCAGAGGCTGATTGGAATCATGGGATCTTTGAAGAAAACTAAAGAGCAACTTCTGACTGCTGATCACTGCAGCTCACCCGGGAGAGAAAAGTGTCCTCAACAAGTCTTTACACAGGGCCCAGCTGACTCTGGCTGCCAACAAACAGTCTCTACTTTAACACCAGGGGGAAAAAAAAACCTGCCAGTGGATTTCCATTTGCATTTTTATGCAACAGAGAAATGAGAATTTAGCAGCCCTCAAACTTACAATTTTTAATGCTAACCTTCTAAGCAACTTTTCTTTAGTACTCCCCATCAGGTCACAGCTTTCCACTCTTACATATTTTACATATTTCCAGACAGTTACCAATTACCATTTCTGTTAAGTTCGCCACTTGTGACTATAATTATCAATTTTCTTGTAGTCTGTAGAGATCTAAAAAGATGTATATGTTTGTATATAGAACATTCTATATATATAATATATATATGTAATGTATATGTTGTATAAGTTTGTTAGTGCACACTGTTAAATGCTTTCTATCGAGATTTACCATGTATGTGGAAAAAACCCATCACTTAAAAAGTTCAGTGAGGGAGGAAAAACTCTTGCCTGGGTGATTTATTGTGAAATGAGGGGGAGTGTGGGATTTTTGCAAGGCTTGCCCTGCACACTGCTCCAGGCTGTCAGTGACAGGCATGGAGCTGCAGCATTCCCAGCGAGGAGCACAGCATCTGACTCTGAGAAAGACTGTAGGACTGTGACTGGCTGGAGGAAAATCAAGGACATTGGCTGTCACTGGATGTTGAAATCTTTCTGTGCTTTCACCTTTCCCACTCAGACAGCACCACCTCAAGCAAAATCCCAAGCTTAGATGTCTCTTCAGCCTCGCAATCCTCAGCTGCACCAGGCCAGATGGGCTGGAAATATTAGTTCAGTTTAAAATGCTGTTTGTTCATTTAGATACTTTGTTCTCTCACGTTCTTCTCTCCAGGATCTCTGTCACAATCAGATCCAAAACCAGTTACACAGAACTTCCAACAGCACACACACCTTTGGGTTTGACCAGATGTTTGTAATCTTATGTCTAGTGCTGTAGATAGACAGAAAAAAAATGCATTAAATTAGATTATTTATAAGTCTGCAGAGTTGGCAAGTCTTCAATGAAGTACAAGCTACTTTATTTATTAATAAAAAAAATTAAATCTATTCCTAGAGCTTTAACTTCAGTTGCAAGCCTTGAATTAAAAGACATGACAATTGAAATTTTGAGAATCAGGTTTTGTTTTCTGTAATTACCTGGGGGGAGGGGGTTTAAGTTTTTTTACAGTTCTACAGTTCAACTATCTACATCAATTAGTCATTCCCCACAACACCAGGATTGTTACAAAAATGTGTAACAAAACCACTCTATTTACTACATGTATTGTATAAAATTATCACATAAACCTCCTCTAAAACAGTTTATACTCCTTTTCCAGAATCCCTTTACACCACAGTGCGTGCATAATGCAGGTGGGCATAGAAAGCTTTTTTTTTTTCAATAGAAACCACTTCAGAGCTGCATCCAGTCTCAGCCCTCCTTCATATACAACCTGTGTGTGTGGCAGCACAGGCAAAGCCCCAGTTTTTGATTAATTATGCCCCTCAAATAGCCCAGGCCCTGCCCCACCCATCCTTTCCCATAGCCCAAAGGTGAATTCAAGCACAGCATATTTCAGTCTGGAATGTTTCTTTGCCTTGGCAGGCTCTGGTAGGAGCACACTCTCTCTCATGAAGGAAGTGCGTGTGGACATTGGCAGCCAACTCCTCCTCTTAGGTGTATAAGCAATAGTCACGTAAATGAGTGTTTCCATTCATGTGTTTTGTTTTGTGATTAAATCAACAAATCGAGCGTTGTACTTTTTTAAATAGCAGCAAATATTCAGATTCAGTGTCAAGGAAATGTGGGCTGAGTATGTGTGTGGTTTGTTAACGAGTCATTACCTGTCTCAGAACGAAGGCTGATCTGGGGTGAACCACACACTCCTGTGCTAACCATGTCCTGTTTCCACAGGTATCCTAAATCAGTATCACAAAGCTAAGGCATCTTAAAGTGAGGCTGTCTCAAGCCCCCATTAACAACCAAAAAGTAAAAAATAAAAAAACAGAGGGGAAGAAAATAAAGGAAAGAATTGATACTAGTTGGTGTAATCTCTTTTTTTCCCACCTTCTACATTCTTTATAGTATTTCAGAGGTGCATGGTTTGTCTAAAGCCTTTGGTTGGAGTTTTCACTTCTCATTCAGGAATACAAAAATTGCAGTCGTGGTTGTTGCTGGGGTGGGGATGGTCACCTCCCTTCCTCCAGCAGCTCCTGCCAGGACAGAACCCATGTCAGCTGATGTTCCCATGCTCCATGGCAGGGAGCTCACACGGGGCTCCGGACTGCCACACCAGCTGGAATGTTCCCAGCCTTGGACCAGGGCTACCAGCCAGCCAAGAGCCCTTCCTGCCCCTCCCACTTCAGCGTGAGCTCTGGAAGGGCAGGAGTGAGCTCAGTGTAAGGGCTCTTTCCAGCAGCACCTCTGAACTGCTGTGCCAGGAGATGCTCCAAATGCCGGCCAAAGGTGCTGAGCTCCCCTCTCCCTCTTGTCAGCTCTGTACAACTCTCTCCATGAAATGCAAGCAGCACGGGAGAAAGGCAAAAGGACCAAAGCAGATCAGACTACCAGGGTCATTATTTGTCACCTGCCTGTCAATGCTTCCAGAAGCCAGGAAGAAAAGGAAAGCTGCAGCAGTACAAGCTTGTGGTCTGCATGTGAGGAAAAGGACCAAGAGGCTGCAGCAAACATCAAAGGTGTGAGTTCCTGCTACCAAGGCTGGGCAAGTCCTGCCCCGTATCCGTAGCCAGCTGAACGCACATTTGAGTTTTTGAGCAGAAACAGATGGGAACCAACTGGACCAGGCTGCTCAGCAGCTCCAAGGGACAGGACAGACTCTCCCTGTGAGGAGCTGGGTCCTGC